TAGTACATGTTCTGAATGGAGAAGATATGCTCTGTATACACCCAAGCCTTGCGGGAAAGAGAGCTCCAGGATTTCAGGTGAATGCATCCCTAATTAATCTAAGGGGAAAGGTAGCTTTCAGTGTCCTCCAAGGGCTGCCACAATATCATCATCGCATCATATCATAGATTGAGCACTCCCTTTCTTCTTGCATGTGAAGTGAGGGTTGAAATGTTAACAAGTTTAATCCCCAAAATTACCTTTAAAAGAGAAAAGCTCCACTCCAGCCTGAGCATTTCCCAGCTTTCTGAATGTCTGGTTGCTGAATTTGCCAGATCTTTACACCTGCCGGCTGGAAGCAGCCTGAGGACCCCTGTTTACTTTGCACAGGCCACCCTGCAGCCATTAGAGGCATGTTCACTCCTCACTGCCATCCTGAGTCGATCTGGGAATAAGATAAAAATCTTTATTCCATTTTCTCTCCCACCTCTCAGTAGAAATTCTCCTAACTTTCTGATAAGACTGGTTTTACTCTTTCTGGCCATCCTCCAAAGGCAAAAACGGGACCTCTGCTCAGCATCATCATCCCAGGCTCAAGGCTTTTAATGAAAAGCTGAGATTCCTTCTATTTAGGGCCAGAGAGGCAACTAATGGACTAAAGAGCCTGAGAGGTGGAGGAATGGCTCTGCCAAAAAGCCATGTGGCAGCCAGCAAAGTCCATGTGCTGAACTAATATAAATGACAGTCAGTGAGCCCCATGGAGCTCAGGTGGGGAACAAACTCCCTTTATCTCCACTTGTTCCTCTCAAGCAGCTTTTCCCTATCAACAAGTCCAGTGAAACCACCAGATTTCTACAGCTGCCCTTCACCTTAATGGATTTTCACCTCTAAAATAAGGATCCTCTGACTTTGATATCTGCATTCTGAAAGAGACAGGCCATAGCTATGTAGCCTTTTGCAGCCTGTACACAAAGGCAGCGAGACATGAGCAAGCTCTGCCCCTGAACACTGTGCTCCCAGTGTAAGGGTGAGCCCAACTCGAGCGTTGTGCTATTGGAAGTATCTTCCCATCCCCTGCTGAGAGCACCAGGGGGTAGATTCAAATTTGCAAGAGAGCAGACACAAAGCCAATTTTAACATGAATGCTGGTCTCAAGCTAACAGGGAAAATGCACCATTGGCTTTGATTTTTAAATACATTAGTTATTCTCTCAAAGAGTGGATCAATGGAAAAAGGAAACTGAGTGATGGATAATGCTTTACTTGCTTAGGAGTAGGATTTATCCTCATGCTGTCTGGCAAAAGCATGGCCGGCTCTTGGGGAACTGTGTGCTCTTGTGTTTCCCTCACAGCAGCAGTGTCTGCCCCTATGTCCTAGTAACCAGCAGGCTGGTCACATACTAGAAGCATTTACCAGGGGGTCTGGAGTGGCAAGAAGCATCTGTGAGAAATTCCAGTGTTTCTATGAACTCATATTTCAAAATAGAGGAAAATACTGACTCTGAGGATGCCACAGAAGTGGGAACATTACAGAAGTGTAATGTTAAGCAGAAAAGATTGCTTGAAGGCAATCAAAACATTTCATTTTTATAAAAGTCCAAACACTCTAATTTAATTTTATATGCTGATACAATTCAAGCTACAGTTTCCCAAAGAATGATCCAATTCTAATAAGACACTGTGAGCTCAGTGACTTATTAGAAATAATTTCATGATTTCTAATAGGATTCCATTTGAATGAAATGCTGCTGAAATTAAGATATTCCCACAAAAAGTCATAATTTTGAGGAAATAATAGTTTTCCTCATGGGGAATAGTCTGACTGGATGTATTTAGCAGTTAAGTTTTGCACTGCGCCAGCATAACTCAAAGCTGTTTGTGTGGAAGGACGATAGCCACATCATGAAGGAGCTGAAATCTGCCACATTATAAGGTAGATACCTGGTGGGGACAGTGATTCCACCTTGTGCTGCTGAAGGTTGACTTGTAAAACCAACATGCAACACTTCTTCCAAGCAGGCTGAAAAGACATTTATCAGCCTTCATCTGGTTATCTTTTGTGCAGATCCCAAGCACTTCTCCTATCAAAATCTGCAGAGCTTTTGTCTCAGCTTTGGCTCATTCGGATCAAGGACAGAGGTTTATTGCAACATGGCTCACAGAGAACAGCATCACCTGTGAATGTGCTGAGCACTTTCCTCCTGGCTTGGACAAAAGCAGCCCCACATCAGGTACCTGTACATCTTGAGCTCCATGTGTATGTCTCCCTAATACTTGCATGCCATAAAATGTTCTTTGCCATACAGAAAGCAATGAGGCCGTTTTTGAGCAATGGATGGGGAGGAATTTATCTCACTTATGGAAGTCATGATGGCCAACAGTGCAATGATAACAAAATGCTAGGTAGCATGTTGAAGGCCTCAAAGTATCTGCAAATTGCACACATGTCTTCACATCCAAGGCACATGAACATGATACAGTAACATACCTGGTGTTTTAAAGCTAGATTTTAAAGAGAAGTCTTCAGGCTTCCAGCTTGCTGAAAGTACCTGCCTGATCCCATTACTTTGTACAAGCCACCCGAGCCGGGATCCATCCCTCTAGAGCTGAGGGATCAACAGCAGAAGGTATTGTTTGTAAGCTTCTTGCAGAACAGCCCCTTTCTTGTGGTAATGAGACCTCTATGGATTTGCAGTGAGGATATGGTGTGACCCAAGGCTGCTAGGGTCAATCAGGACATAAGCTGAAATCAGCTTTCTGAAGACAGCTCCTGATCAAGGCACAAACCTATGCTCTTGCCTGGCCCGTATTTGTCACGGGAGTGATGGAAAACCGGACACAAGAGACAAATAATGTTACCCTGCCATGAACAACATGAGACCTGTTTTCCCTAACTGGCTGAGCAGGGCTCTTCAAACAAGGTTTGTGGTACAAAAGTTCACAACTCTAACAATGCATTTTCTTTCCTAATATTCTCACTCTTGACCACCAGGTTGCTCTTTGCATGATCCTTACTCCAGCAAGCGCACATCTAGGGCATGCTCTGGTTGCAAGCACAAGAACACCAGAATATAACACTAAAATGAATCATTCCAATCCCTAACAACTACTTCATGCCAGTTCAGAGACACCATAAAGATCACCTGAGGCTTCAAGAGCTGAGCAAACTTGTTGCAGAGCTAGGACCTTTTGCTAAGCACATTCCCAGATAAACAACCTTATCAGTTTGGAGCTCCTCAGACATCACCACCAAATACTGCCTTAGACTAAGGTCAGGCTCAGAATACCACAAGCAGACTAGCAGGATCACACCTTCCCTGGGAATGGCACCATAGCAAGACTTACCCAAAGTCCAGAGCCATCAAGGAGAAAATGAGTAGGAGAGGGACAAAGGAGGCAGATAAACTTATACTGTTGATGTGACCAACCTGTGAGTCCTTTCTAATTAGAGCAGGGCTCACAGCACAGCCACACACATGGCCCTGATGCTAATTACGGAGGGCTGAGCACTGACACATTAACCTCCCAGTCTTGAAACATTAACTTTACTGGGTGTAATACCTTCCAGGTTAATAACCTGCATCCACAACAGAGTCCAGCTCTGTAAATATCCAATTAACTGGGTTCTGTCAGAGGAAGCAGCAGCAAAATGCAAGGTCTAGGAGGGCTGAAGGGAAGGCCTGAAGAGCTGAGTGTGGTGTATGCTGGTGTGCACACACATGGAGGGGGACCTGCAAGGAATGGCCGGTGGAGCATGGAGGAGTGATGCCTTCATAGTGACTCTGCGCAAGCTCCAACACCAGCAGTAGCTTGGCCAAGGGAAAGTAATAAAATGAAACAAATAGAAGATTCTTCACTGTTGACATTTAGCAAAACATTTTCTTCCAGCCTTCCTCACTCCTTCCTTCTGAACCATTTTTCAAAGCTTCTGTTGTTTGAAAGTGAATTCAAAGCAACAGTGGCCGGATTCAAGCTGTACACAGTAAAATGGAAGGGTTTTTTCTAACTTTTAATCCTTGTTTTGCCCTCTGCCTTCCAGAAGGGGGAAGTGGAACAGTGAAGCATAAAAAAAATGGAACAAACATGGAATAACTGAATATTCAAGTCAGTTTGAACGTAATTGCCTCATTTAGCATAATTTTGTAGAGGGTTGGGAGAAAATTATTCTTTTCATACAACAGATTCGAAACATTTAAAAAATAATTGGTCACATAAACGGTTACTTCTATTCTGACCAACGCAGAAGCTAGTACAAGTGGAGATGGGCATCATGACATGCTCACGGATGTGCTGCTCTGCTGCCCTGACCCCATAGCACTGGGTGCTTTGATGGAGATGAAGGGAGAAGCCTCTGCCTCTCTCAGAGCAGAAGCAGCTGCAGGGGCTCAGGGTGCTTTGCAGGGCTCAGCCACTTCACTGAGCTGCTGCTATTTTAGCTAAAAGCTCTTTCATTTTCCCCCTCCACAGCTGAACTGACACAAAGAGCGTCAGACACATTCGGCATCAACGAGACATCCAGCGTTTTTCCTAACTGCTCAACTCATTCTCCCTCTGAGCAGATCCTCATGTTAGTCTCTTACTGGTGTTCAAGTTTCCCCATTCTGCAACCATCAGGGTGTCCTCATTCCCCCTCTCCTTTTCTACAACCATTAATTAAACCTCTTATTGCACTTAGCAAAAATCTGCCTTTCCATCTCTGTCACAACCTCTTCTCCACCAGGACATCTCTTCTGAAGGCACTGCATATGCACAGGAACACATTCAGCCCCATGTCGTTTCCAGCAAGCTTCCAACCTCAACACAGAATCATAGCTGGTTTGGGTTGGAAGGGACCTCCAAAGCTTATCTAGTCCAACCCCCCTGCAATGAGCAGGGAAATCTTCAACTAGATCAGGTTGCTCCAAGCATTGAAATTCCAACCCAAACTCTTAACTCTGCTTTTACTGGAATTGAAGAAATTCTGTGAAGACAGAGTACCAGCCAAGCTGGGAGAATCAAAGAGATCATCCAGTGAGACAGGAGAAGAATGAAAATAGTGCTTTTAATATCATTTACAGTCAAACTTACAGTATGTATTTCACATCACATATTTCTAAACTGCTCATCTGGAAAATATAAGCTGCAAAAATACAGAACACAGTACTCAAAATATATCGAGCATGTGGCTTCTCTTTCTTTCCTTTTTTTTTTCTTTCCTTTTTTTTTTATATCAATTGTACAGTGAAACTTTTCCTTTTCCAAACCAGATTTTGGTTTATTTTGGAAGCACTGCCAAACATTTGCAAAATGACCAGCAGTCAAACCAGCACACTTCAAATACCTTCCCTAGGACCACTTTTGCTTGGGCACTGTAGGAAAAGATGAACCCACAGCCCAAGGCACAGGCAGAAGCATGTGGGCTCATCCAGGTCCCATACACACTGCTACAGACCATCCGTGGGGATGTTCTATGCAAGAAGAACCTTCTGCACATACAACCACCCACAAATGCTGCCCTGCTCAGGCGGCTATGAAGAACAGCAATGGTACATGGGACAAATATCACTGGCTGGTCTGCTACAGAGGCAGGTAGATACTCTTCCAATATTGTGGGCCCTACACAGAGTTCTGTGGGGGAGTTTTGAGACATAGGAGTGACAAACTGCATGGGGTGGTCTTCTTCCTCCAACAAGACAATCAGTATGGAAGCACCCTCCACACACTGATGGAAGATTACAACCACAAACCTGCTTCAAACACTGGCCAGAGCAGTCCTGAGCTGCTGAAGCCTGGAGAAACTCTTACAACAACCCAGTTAAAGAGTTGCATCAGAATTTGGAGGGCACGTGGCATACCTGCCTCTTTGAAATGTGTTAGTTCTGTTTTTACAGATTATTAGCATAGAGGAGGGAATGACTTGAGGAACAAAGTAAGTTCCCAATACTCTTATTAGCCAAAAAAACCCAGCCCCTCCAAGTTTGCCAGAGCACAGAGGAGGCAGCTGACTGAGTTAAGAACAGAACCTCTTTCACAATCTGCTTTGAATTCTGAGCTCTCAAGCTTGCTCAGCTGTAGCTGCTGCTAAGGGATTTCAAGGGTGAGAATAACCAGGTTACACAGGCAAGACATATACTGCTGATCCACCTCTGCACCATAAAAACAAGCAAAGAAGAATCAGCCAAACCAGAACTTTGCTTTCCCTCCATCATGAAGGAAGCAAGGCCAAGGACTGGCTAGGCAGCACTGTTGCTTCTTCTCACAAACCACTTCAAGCCAAGAGCTGCCCCCACTCCCTCCACTCTGGCTGGTTTTCATATAGTTTTTGTGTCTCATGTACACAGGGCAAAAGGAATTTCACAACAGTCTTACTGCAAACATTTCCCTTCTAATGCCATTTATGCATTTCTAGTTCACACGACCCCAAATGTCCCCATGCCTGGAATGTGATATAAGTACATACAGCAGGGAAAAACAGTTTCTGCAGACTGCATTTAACTTGTATCAAAATCCTAATGAACACGTTTATTGTACTTTATTTACATGGTAGTCACGTATAATATAATACAATACAGCGTTCCATTGCAGTGGTAGGCACTATGGGTTTTAAAAGGTCACAGCTCTTCCCCAGCTCCCATTCCCATCCCTTCTCCCTATGGACATGGTACCAAAGTGAACCAAGAGCTCCCAGCGCTGCTGTTTTCCACTGAACCCTTCTCTGACTCCTTCCCAAAAGCAGATATTGGGAGCTGCTTTCATGTGCTAGCATGGAGACTCATGAACTTTGGTGGTCACAGACCACTGGCAACCCTTTGCATTTGTCAGGGACAGATATGTGTAGCCTCATTACCATGCTTTGCACTGAAAACAAGTTGAAGGCAATGGGGGGCTGTAGAGAAGCTACAGACCTCTGAGCACAGCTTATAGGCCACCTACAATCAACAGAGCACAGGTTTGGTCCCAGTGCATGTAAGACCTTAGGAAAATAGCTGTGAGCCTTCAAGAGAGATTCTCATCCTCCCATTAGGCAGAAAGCATCGCGGGTGAAGAACTGGGGTCACTTCTTCCTTTCAAGTTCACACAGTTAAGAGTTGTGAGGCACCAAAAACATCGCACTGAGATGCAGTTTACACAGAGGGCCAAATGCACATCTGTGCGATGCTAGACTGCAAAAGGAAAGGGCTTTGAAGGGCTAAAATACGTGGCAGGGAAGACGCCTTCTGATGTCCTATCAACTGGTAATTCAATGGGAAGAACTAAGATCTGTTAGGCCATATGCAACTCTGATTCCCGAGAGGTTTCTGCTTCCAATCTAAGAGCTGTGCAAACACTGCAAATAAAATTCGCACCACCTGCTTCACCTTAGTACCAATTTGGTTTTGTCTGGGTTCATCCCCTTCTCGTGTTTGCTCTCAGTAATTACTCAAATGAATGCATTAACTGGTGCGAACATTGGGAGAAGCATCGAATTTCAAGCATCTATGAGAGGATATTTGTGGAAAGAGGATTGCGAGTTGGAAGCCAGCACTTTGGCTGTCCTGGAGCACTGTACGTCCAGTGGTGCTACGCCCACTGGCATTGAGCAAGGACCCTCTTATTCATTTCTTAACCACAGTTTTGAAGTAAATATTTGTACAGATGAGAAAATTCCAGCCTAAGGAATTTGGGGAGCAGAAATATCCCCCATGATATCAATGTCCAGCCAGAACAAACCAAGGTGTGTGAATTATAAGGAAGCTTTTCCAAACTCTTCCAGACCACAGACGATGCGCAAGAATGACCTTGCAAATCCACTGGAGGCATTTCCTTGGTTTTCTCAGCCATTCGCAAGGAAGAAATAAGAAGGAAAATTCACTTATGAAGTCGCTGTAAATTATTTGCTGAGTTGGACTTGACAAGTTTCTGATTGCTTTCTGCCATCTGCAGACACCAACTTCATGCAGAACAAGCCCAGCACTACAAAGTGTCAGGGTATGGCTAATGTTTTCCTTCCCAGGGTGCGACAGTCGGCTTTGCTGCACTTAATCTGAATAAAGTGGGGGATATTTTACAAATTCCTAGTACCCTGAAGACCCCATCCCTGGAGTCATGCCATTCATCAAACAAATAGAGACTGAAGCAAGGTTCTGACAAGTGAAACGGCACATACACGGCACGCATCCTACAGTCCCATTCTTGCAGCCATCTAAATGGATTCAACTGTCCATGTGGCTTCTTCTGAATTCACCGTGTCCTTTTGGGACTGAGGGATGCTCATAGCCAAGCAGCTGTGGCAAGACAGAAGCTGACAGAAAAGCAGTCCATATTCATATTCTGTCAAAGAAAACACCAGTATTGCTTCTGAGTAGACAGAGCCTCCTTCTGCTCCACTGGATTCAGGAAGCCCACAATGGCCAAAGATTTTACTTGCCATCACTAGTTAATAAAGAAGTACCTAATGTCTAACAACTGCTGAAAGGCCATTTTTCAGCAAAGCAATTGTATTAAGACTCAGATTGGCTAGAAATGTCAATGGAACGATAGAAAGCATCATTTGCAGCCTAGAAGTAATAGACTCAGTGTCTAAAAGCAGAACAAACTATAATATTTTGAGCATATGTAATGCTAAGGGAGACCTGCTGGCACCCCTTCAGCAGCAAATTTAAATGCCAGTAACTCTGAACACCTTGTGTTGACTTGGTAGAGCTGAGCTGTGCTTTGCCACTGGGGGGAAGAACTGTATCTGGAGAAAGGAAGCTGATGGTCAGTGTGGAAGTAACGCCCACAAACCGTGGGTCTGAGGGAGGTAGGGCAGGTAGGTCTATCCAGGAGGATGGAAGGGTGGCTGATCCCTTCAGGGTCTCAGCTACAATGTCCTGGTTTCCCCTTTCCTCCTTGGATCAACCTCAACCACCAGATAACAGAAGCTGAGACTGTCTCATACCAAAGGCTCCCGTCACACGATTGCCCATCTTAAACCACTCTCTGTGTTCACACCAGTTCTCTCGGGGCTGCCTGTCTCCTGGTACTGCTGCCCACAAAAAAGAGTCACGGCAGCAGCATGGGAGCAGGTGAACACGGATGTAGGTAAAAAAAGCAAAAACTCCTAATGCAAATGGCAACAGGTTAGTGTTATTGCTTATATTTTGGGGTGCTCTGCCCTGCACAGAAAGCCTCTGCAGGCATTAATCAGATCTACGGAGAGAACACCAACAAACATGCTTCTGTCTGCAAAGACAGTTCATGTGAAATTAGGGAGATAGATGAGCATGGCAGAGTGGGAATAAGTCTGGAAACCCTTGTGAATGAAGGAACAAAGCTGCTACCTTGTCAGTCCAGTGAAGCATTTTCGTATGTCTTTAGTACTGACAATTCCTCATGTCACCTGCCAAGAATAAAACAAACATCACACCAGCATCGTCCATGTCTAAGAAAATACTGATCCCAACACATCCAGCTGTGAGAAACAGTCATGTGGCAGCAACAGCCAGGGCAGGCGTGGGGGCTAAAGCTTCATAGTGCTGGTAGCCTCCAGGTTGTCTTGGGTGTGCTGTGGAGTGAAACTGCTGGTTATGAGATGGAGTTGCTTTTCTGTCCCCCAGGACCTCATTTACTGGAAAAATATGTGCCTGACTGAGACACAAAGGTAAACCTGAAGTACATCACCTCCAACAGCAATGTGATGAACATAAAACTCCGATGGAGATAGGAGGGAATACAAATTTCGTCAACTCCCTTAATTTTTATTTCCAAGGAAAAAAAAAAAAAGCCAACACATTTCAGCCATTTGGAAATACTCCAATCACTTTCCAAATGCCTGCTCACCATCAGTTCAATTCTGAAGCATAATTAGCTCAGCTAATTGAAGCTAATCCCTCACTCTATTTTTCCCTTTTCACCTTCCTAGCAACTTGAGGAACAACTGAGATTAACAGTAACAGCACTGAGTAGTTCAGTGCCTCTTGCAGGGGTATGGCAGTGTGAGGCCCTTATTAGATGAATTCTTAAGGAATGGAAGTTTTGTCTAGATAATTCAAGCAATGGCCTTTTTTGTCCCACTATACATCCAAGATGTTTTGGGCAAAGTCAGAAAAAGGTATGATTTCAGTGTATATAAAAAGAAGGTTCTGAAAATGCATCTCTTTGTTAACAAGGATGCAAAGAAACTGATTCTAATGTCATCTGCACCAGTTTTAGATTGGGGTCCCCTTTTGATTCCACTGGGGCTACGCCAAGGTGGTATTTGTGCAAGGCAAAGAAAACCCCAACCTGAAGTCATGCAAGGCAACTGGACAATCCCATAGAGACTGCTAAATGTCAAGTAGTTTATTTTGTCAACTATGCCATTCCCTAGCAGACAGCCATGCAGGGAACACAGAGCTTGGAAATGTCAAAATAACATTTCAGCACAGACTGAGCTCTCAACAAAACTCTGAATTTCAATGCCCCTGAATAGGGAGAAGAAAAAAATTCCCAACACTGGATGTGGACTGCACAGCTCAGATCATGCCCTTGTTTCTGTTCCCAGGAATGGGCATTTTTCTAACTCCATCCTTGACCTTAAGTTAAGGTTAAGGCAGCTGCGGGATGGAAGCGAAGTGCTGACAGGCAAAAGGCCCATTCTGCAATTTGGGAAGCTGGAGGATGTCTGAGACTTATTCTATAACAAAATTGGGTCTGAGGATTTACTTTTGTTATTCTATAACAAAAACTGTGTTGCAGACAATGGCTTGTGGGCTTGAAATCAGGAAAAAGCAAGCAGCCTGCTGGGATGGATGGATGAAGGTTTTGGTCTGTCTGTTTTCTTTAAACTAAAGCTGTGTTCTTGAATCTGTACCAAAGCACTGACAGTAAAGCCCTTCATAATGCAGGCATCTGATATGTCCTTAAAGAAAAAAAACAAAGAGTGGGATGGAGAGAGAGCTCTTCAAGAGTTGCATTATCAAAAGAAATAAAACAAAAATCACGCAGGAATTTTAAGTTGCAGCGTAAAAATAGTATCAGTAACCCCATTCAACTGCATCTCCCATGTGTGCTAAGAGAAAAGATTAAATGAAAAAAAATAAACATCAATAAAAATGAAAACATTATGTGCCCTGGAATCCTATTTCTATAACTCCAGTCAAGGAGGACTTTTGACTATACTGACAAATCACAGCTCTTGAGCACTGGGAGTTTGTTTTGCATCATGTCATCGTGCTGTTCTCCTTCACCTTGGACTTTCAGAGGGGAAAAAAACCCTGAAACTGTGAAAGGGGTTATAGAATTTCAAGCAATCAGGCTTTTAGAAAGGCTCTGTTCTCTGACATTTGTGTTTGAGTCTGAATGTGTGTGTATAGTACAAAATTATGAGCTAACATTTGAAAAGACAGCAGTCTGAGTAATAAATTTCCAGAACAAAAAGAACTGTACATAACAATTTCAAAGGCTTATACTTGACAATTATATATATTTTATGAGACAGTTATGCACCCTGTGCCTTTTGTAAATTCATTGTTTTATGGATGAAGTATCTCTATTTTAGCAGACAGGATATACTAAACTAATCTAATGGCCTAAAAAGCATCATTTACCACCCAACATAACAATGGCACTGCATAGCTTAATAACTTGACTTAAACTCCTTCATTAATCAAGTGATTCTTAACATGGCTGAAGACCAAGACTCAAATATCTGCAGTTACAATATTTGTCAAGTATTTGGCACAGTGGAGTTTATTTGATGCACCCCTTTTTTTTGCTCTTGTTGTTGCTGAACATACAATGCTGTGCATAAACTAAAAACATACACGTAAAGTCAGTCAAGTGGAAGCAGTTTGATAGCCCACACCTGTGTTTCAATGCCTAGGTAAGAGCTAAGTCTGCTAAAAAGGTGTTGAACATGAGCAGGAAGTTATCAACCCTCTGTAATTGTGCCAACTCTGGGATGTCCACTGCCAGCAATGGACAAGAACCTAGGGAAGATCAGCCCCTCCACCAGATGCATGGAAGTGATGCCCAGCATTCGGTTCACCATGCCAGGCTACTGCTCCAAACATCTGTAGGTTCAAAACAGCTTTAAAATACAAACAAAAAAGGAGCTTTTTGGTGATGATGCTAACCCTTAAAACCCTTCTGACATTTAGTCCATTGGAAATGAGTCTGGTTCCTAGGGAAAACTCATCAAACGCAATGAATTTGTATTGCTTCCCAGCAGGAATGTTTTGGAAAAATAAAATACGCATGCAAAATAAGCCTGACCGCATGCTTCTTGAGATCAGATAAAAGCCTCCCCTTGATTTTTGCAGGCTTATGTGAGACTGCATTGCAAAAGCAAAGCCAAATCTCCTCCTGCATGGGTGCCTCTTAAGAATCTCAATGAGAATTTCAGAGGTGCGCAATGCTGGCCAGCCTCCGCTCCCATAACCCCGCCTTCCATAGGAACCCTATGTGAACAGCTAATGGCAAAATGTGGCCTCCAGGAGGGGAGATTATTCCACCTTCTTCACGTGGCTTCCACTGAAGTCAGTGGAATTTTTTAGGTGAAAAAATCAGTTGTGAGGGTTGCAGGATTAAGGTTGGGATTCCTTTCATCTTGTACACACACACACACACACACACACACACACACACACACACACACTCACTTTAAAGAAAACATCCACCACACAATTTCTAGATTGCAAATCATATATATATATCTTTAAAAACTGGAGAGAATATAAACAGCCTCTCCACATATATATGTGTATTCACTGAGTCACATAGAACATGAAAAAAACCTATATTACGTAAATCATCATATTATCTATAATTCTCCAACTGACAATTGTTTTTATAGAGACACAGTGTATTTGTTCTCGTTTTTAAAAACATATTATGTGTCTTCATTGGCTTGGTAGCATATTAGAATGAAGGCGTATGGATAAAAAACGCAGAGGGTTAAACAAATCCCTTGAGTCACATCATGTTTGGGTGAATTAAAACAGGATCCTTCCCCAAAGTAGCATAAATAAATCCTCCCTATGGAAAAGTGTCAGCGATTTAAGGGTTAACATAGATTGCAAAATAACTTTTTAAAACCCCATCTTATTAGAGGACTGCACAGCCGAGTATTTGGAATTCACCCCCTTTAAAAATGACAGCACGTTTGGCAAGTGTGAGCAAACGTCTTGAACTTTACTGGGTTTGAGAGATGTAAGCAGAGCTATTCACAGACAACCACAAAGCTGCAATCTGTGAATAAGCCTCGCCTGGAAGGACTCGGATACCTCTGACAGCACTGCTCGGCACCGGGAAGGATTCCAGCAGCTTTCAAGGTATTTATCGTGGACTCGTGGCTGGTGACAGAGTGTGACTCGTGGAATGGCTCCAGCACTGCTCCCTCTGCCATCACAGAGCTCAGACCAGCCAACCCTTCAGCCCACACTGGGGGGCTTCACATACCCTGGGACCACACTTGCAACCACAACACCTATTCTCGCATTGCCACCTTGCTTTCTCTATGCCTCGTGCCCAAGCCTGTCCATTCGCTGAGCTTTCCAATGAACCTCCTCAGGTGCTCTTCTTGGAAGCTTGTACTGTCATCAAAGGGGCTGGTATCCAGCCACAGCAGCTCCCTGCTTTCTCTATCACCCCGCAGGATGTCACAAGTGATCCCATTAAAAGATGCTGTTCACAAGAATCCTGGCTGGGTCTGACTTTGAGAAAAAGACAAAAGTTTCCTGTGTTGCCGTTGTTTTGCAGTTGTTTCTTCATTCGTGCTCTCCTCTTGGTTTTATTAAAAAGGACCCTTGTATTATTAATATAGTTCACCCCTCCACAGTCACTATAAAACAGACTCCATATTTTCACACCACTCATGGTCTTCAAGGTTATAGATAAATTTTGTCCTATGTGATTGTTTTTGGGGCACTGAGTCCCGCCCCAGATTGTCTAGGGTGAGAGTAGAGGCAAAGAACTCGCTAGTGCTGAGCCCACCTTCATGGTTCTTGATGTATCTTTTATAGTTTTTCCTCAAGCACTGCCAGGTGGTGGTATATAAGATGAATGCAAAAGACTTCAGGGCTATAGCAATACTAACATACAGGTATCTATAGACCACGTTGTCGTACAGCGCGCAGGCTCCTTGCTCGCCACAGAACGTGCTCCAAAACAGACACGTGGAGTCAATTCCAGCCCCAAAGATGAGCGGAGGTGGGATAAAACCTGTCAAAATAAGAGAGACAAATCATGCTTTTATGATCCTTATGATAGAGAGAGGACGTGATTGCAGTGAATGGAAAGAGAGGATACTTTATCAAGGTTAATGGTCCCAGCTGCAGCCTGTAATTCTAATTTCTGAAGTTCTAAATCAAGTTAAACAAAGTCTGTGGATGAGTTTTTAGCTTGGGCTCAATGTCTAGGGAAGAGATTCCTGCTGATATCAACATGCAGGAAGGATTTTACTCAAGTTTAAGTGGCTTTTATTAAGCTTCTCATTTGCCTAATGAGACTGAGTGAAGGGGTAAATGAAAGAGGAGGAGGAGGACAGCCTTACAGCTTGCTCTCTGTTCAGAGGCTGGTAATTCTGCACTTCAGGGTTTTCACCTGAAGCATGTCACAGCACTCCAGTTCAGAGCCTGAAATCAGCTGGGGCACTGAGAGCTAGTTTTGGACCTTTCCCTAACACAGCAGAAGGTTTTCTTTGGGCCTAAGGAAAAGAAACAATGCCCTCTAATAGATGCCAAAGATTAAATCTGAAAAGAAAGGAAAATTTCAGTGCACCATCAAATGAAATATCACAGCAGGATTCTCCCACAGCCACCTCAGCTAACTACTGATGAGTGTTTCTCAATCGTAGTTTGCAGCAGAGCAGCAATCTTAGAGCAGAATAATCACTCCAGTCTCATTTAACTAATAAAGGCAATGTTTTTCTTCCCTACTTTCCCCATCCCACAGGGACACTGTAGAGGCCTCTGTTTCTCATTACCATGACAGAGGTTAGGACAGCCACGTTCCCAGCCAGCACACATGCTCCAAGTGTGCAGCACTCGGAAGAAAATGTGGATGTTCTACATAATGTAAACCATTTCTCTTCTGCTATATTTACAGGGAAGGCTGGAAGCAGATAAACCCTGGGAAGAGCCCTGATGGATAAAATCACTTCTGTGGGTTAACACAGCAGCAAAAGAGAGCATCGTATCTACTGAAATCCAACAGCAGGTAGGCATAACATACCCTTGACAATATCACTGCATCTGTAAGTGCTGTGATGCCTGAGACTCTATAAATAAATGTGTAGACAGCCACAAGCACTCCAGTTTCTAGACAGAAAAGTGTTTAATCTTGGATCCAGTTTCATCATTAACCTGGATTTCCAGGCTTAGAAAAGATACCTTCCCTTCAGCTTTTCATGAACAATAGTGACATTCATGACATGTATCCTAAGACTACAAATAAATTGGCTGTCTTGACTGTTCCCTTCTGAACTGAGATCTCTTGATCTTATTTTGTTGGTGACAAACTCTGCAGATTTTGTTTGATCTGCCTTTATGTTAATAGATGTGGGAGTTAAGAAAGGCTATGTGGGCTTTTGGTACTCATTTTAACCAATCATTAATAGCACAAATGTAGTAAATAAAACCAGATGATACAAAAGCAAGATGATTTTATTTTTTTTGTCAGAAACACCAGTTCCAGTCATCACATCCAAAATCTGGATATGCTCTGGAGAAAAACATCAGTGTCAGTTCTCTGTTCATTACTTCAACGGCTGGAAATTCCTGACTGGGCTGGTTCTGCTTCTTGGTTAAAAGAAGGGGTTCTATTTGTTGAAACCTGTGCTCAACATGGTATTTAGAAATCCAGCTGGGCTCCCGCTAGGAACAAGCAAAGAGCCTGTGCTACTGAATGCAGTTTGTGTACCCAGTGATGCACTCGTGCTGGACGCCACCTCAGGGATCACATCCAGATGTGGCAGTGACAGAGGAGGCAGCAGCCACACACTTTGTGGACTGAGAGAAAACGGCATTTTCATCATAATTTTGAGGTATGAGCTCCTATTTGTTAACATGCAGAGAGATGTTGATACAAAGCTTTGGAGATGTGAACTTCAGAGAGAGCCATCATCCCCATCTGCTGGCTTCAGCTGGCTTTCCAGGTTTGCAAGATAATTTGGCCTTGAAATTGCTCCTTATTAAGACCTGAGGAAGGAACTGTTTTCACTGAACTCTAAAGCTACTCCTGTGTGAATGCAGGCATGGATGTGGAAAATGTATGAAAAGCCTCCAGCAAACAGTGTTTTAGGCCATTTTTACCAAAAAGGACAAGAGACTCGCAGGAGTAACTTGGTGCCTGGACCCTCTGCGACAAGGGAGCTGAGGGGTTGCACTGCAGATTGGGAAGTCCTTCTGAGAGCAAAACACTGTAGTTTTGTCACGTTGGAAGAAGAGAGGCAAACGATATGGGCTTGTAGGAAAACCAAAAAGAAGTGCCCTGGTAAGCAGAGGCTGTGTTAGGATGAACGGTGAACACCATCCAGAAAGGATTCAAGTCTTACTAATCTAAAACTCTTTGTCATTTTGACAATTCTATTCCAAAACTTTGGCTCCAGTGGCATTCCCTGAGAAACTGCAGAAACACTTTTACATGAAGACACTATTATGCTGCCCTCTCACAGTAGAATTTCTGTGCAATAAGAAAATACATCCAGGAGGATACTGGGAGAATTCAGTCGTGTTTCATGTTATTATAGTGAATATTAAAGAGATTCAATCATGTTTTACCCCTTACTGCAAACTGTTGCAAAAATTTCTGCTGTATATATATACTTATATTTCATGGCAGAAACTGTAGGGCTGTATAAAAAAGCTGCTTCTGTCTTACTGAAACCTATTAGCTGCAACTGCACCTCCGGGTCTCATACCTCCTATATTTAATACTCTCCTTTGGTTCAAGAAGCAGCTATTATCACTGTCTTCTTAAGTCAAAGCTTAAAGGTGAACTGAAAAGCTTTTAAAATAAATCAGTGAATCTATTCTTGAAGCTCAGGTTGTTAAGGGCGAGATTTGGATACCTTTGCTCATATTGAAAAGTACCTTTCTTTTCATTTTCTGTGGGTTCTATCTACATTGCTGCTATTCTTCAGGATGCATTGTCTTATTTCACAGGAGTTACTTAGTGACAGAGCAACATATAAAGATTTGAGTTTAAATTCATACTATGGCTTCTTTATTGGAAGAAAACAAAATATCTATTCAACTTGTACATGCCTGAGCCTGGGTTTAGAGGAATTCAGGATGCTGCTATCTCAGGAGGGTTCTCTCTTTTGAAAGGAAAAAAGAGAGAAAATCTACCCCCTTAAGTACTTTCCCCCTTAGAAACAACAGCCTGCAGCCATCCTCCTCACGCACGTGCCTGCTGACACTCCACATTCAATCAGAGAGAACTGAAGACAGGCCAAAAGCCAAGAGCAGCACCAGCAGCTAAAGAAAATGCTGTCTTTACAAGGCTTGACCCAGAGATGACCCAAGTCAACCCAGAAGCTTCCCCTCAAGTTATCTGAGCTCTGAATAAGATTACTTGATGGAACGTTATCTGTGACTGCAGCTACTTCACCAAAAGCAATGAAAATCTAATTGGTTTTATTGTAAACTGGTCTGGGACCACCATTTCCCTTTCAGCTAATGGGAATAAGGTGTTACAAAAAGGAAGTAAATAAATGAGGTCACTTATTCACAATGTATGGTACTGCTAGAGTTTTGGTCCTATACTTTCTAATGTCTTGCTGTAGCCTAAAAGATGGCACTTGACTCTCCAGCTCATTCCTTTGAGACTGGGGAGGGCCATACAGGGCAGGTACTGCCTGTGTCCTGCAGGAAAAAAGTAAATCCCATCCCTCAACATGCAAAAAACTCCATGCATGACATGAACACACAGAGATGGATCAGAGGATTCTGCTCTGAATCATTGAGATTAAGAAGCTAAACTATAGGAGCTTTAAAACAGGAGCCATCTCTTCAAAAGGGGAAAAAAACTCCACCCAGAAGGAAGCAGCAGGCAAACATCGTTGTGTTCCTTTAAATTCATACATGAGAAGCACATACTGGTCCATGGGAACAGCCATATGCATTTTAATGGGATATTAACCCACAGGAGGATACAAGGACTCAGCCTTTCTCATTTTATTGTTTTCCTTGCTGAGAGACCTGAAGGAAGGGGCAAACATTCCATGTGACAAAACACACCGTGTAACACCAGTCCTGTCCCTCAAAGGAGGATGAAAATACATATCCCTCTACTTCAGCAAATGCAATGCAGCAGTAATTTTGCAAGCCGCTGACATGTTAATAACAGCTATAGAAGAGTAACTGGTTGTGTGGGACCATGGCAGAAACGGTAATTTCTCATTCAACACTGCATTTGCTTCCATTAACACAATTTGAATGGCAGGAAAAGTGCCTTCAGGAGCCCTGATGCCATATCCTCCATAGGGAGGCCTCAGACCCCGTTGTGTCAGACAGCACTCATGTCAACCACAACATTGCATGGCATAGAAATCCACTTTACATGTAAAAAATACCACTTTCTGTGAGAAAGGAAAGGAAGGGAGAGCAGGACATGAAATGTTTGCACGTACCTAGCAAACGGAGAAGCAGGAAAAGCACCCCCAAAGCGTAAGACTTGAGTTCGGGGCTCACAGTTCTGTAGGGAGAAGGGAGGGAGAGAGTGAAATTGATTCTTTGTGTTCCGCTTTGATTAACGCACCTCATGGCCATTCTGAGCTGTCAGCCAGGATGCCACCACCACCCCTTCAAAGAGTCATTAAAGGGGTTTTTCTTCTCCCTTCGCCTGAACTGCCTACAGCCCCAAAAGTAACAGCATCAGTGATAAGTTCAGGCATTTAGCTAAGTCATTAATAACAGCAGCTAATCTTGTCGTCAGCTGGGGAAAAATGAAACTCCCACCCCAGTAAATGACCATTTACAAGGTTCCCCATCATGCGTTCAAGGCTCAGGATGTTGAGAACTGAAGGGAGAGGATGCTTTTTGCTCTGAAACTTTTCAGACCACTGGGGACAATAGAAGGAAGGGAGGACGATGGACCAAAAGGTTCCATCAGCTTGTTAAATCAAGCCTCCCAGTGAGGAAATGCTCAAGACTAGCTCTCATGGGTGTGAGTTTAGCATGCAAATGTTTTTTATGCTGGGAAGATAACAGTTGTGCTGCCTTTTGCTATGAACAGAATCCACTCTGTCACATTAGTGTTATCCTTCAAAGGTGCTTTAAAAAATAATTCATGGCTTTCTAATTTGCTTAGCTCAAGGATGTTACTGGCTAAAGTCATCCTCTTGGGGTAGGCTCAGCAAAGCCTTTGGAATTTCAGAAATCATTAATTTGGTCTTAAGTCTTATAATAGTATTTTATTTCCCACAGTACATAAAGGATGGGAAAGCAGGACAGCAATCCCCATATGAATAGATTCATCACATGGGGGATCTTTAAAGGCCTGAGCTGCCTCTTCCATTAGCTGGTTATAGAGGTCCTCAGGAAGCACGGCTAGTGGCATCCATAGTGGCAGTGGTGGTCTTCTGTATGAATACAGATAATACCAATAAACCAGCCAGAAACAGCACGTGGTTTTAACAGAAGACCATTCTTATTACCTGCCCTCATCTCACACATTACACAAGCCACCTCCCACCATACCATGACTCCTGCATGAAGCCTCTGACCTCTGGGTGAAATTTCGGCACAGTTTTCAGGCGGAAGCCCAGGCTCAATAGAAAGCCTTGGAAAAATGTTCCAGTGGTTAATGGCTTGGGTCAAATAGGATTCTACAGTTGGGTGGGAAATGGATTTAAAAAAGAGTATTCAAGTTTATCTTATGGAAAGAAATAGATTATCATATGAAATATTCACAGTGGATTTTTAGTCGGTGGTGGTGTCCTTTCATCCACTCTTTGTATTTAAGACCAAAGTCAATCCCCATACCTTAAGCCAGAGCAGAAGTTGCCACTTGTCGACATGCCCTTTCCTCACTGACTACAGCACTGAATAAATAACTTGCTGAGACACCTAATTTGTAGACACTGAAAGTCACTTTTAAAGTAAACATAGGAACTGCTGATGCCACTTGTCACTGCCTCTGACACTGGGGACATGCTCATATGCCAAAGCTTTCTTTTACCAATCCAAGATGGCAGTTGCAAGAAATCATGAGGTCATATATGGTGAAGAGCTCTTCCCTGTGTATTTCAGTAGCTCTCAGAGATTCTGAGGGCAGTGGAGCAATTTGGATGTGTGAATTGTTTATCCCCTACAGCTGTGAGCTGAACTTTGTTAATATTCCCTCTGCTTTTCTTATTCCCTTGTATTCTTCTTTCTGGCTGGTGACTGGCTTATCTCATTTGAAGCTGACATGAAAATGTCTCCATGCAGGATCCTACAGGTGCTGGCAGCTCCCTTGAACAAAGAACTCTTCAAACTTCAGATTACTTTTGCCACAATATTTATCATGAGAAATTTGATTTCCCTTCAGCTACTGGAGATGCAAAGAGAGAAACGAACCAGGAGGTCGAATATCTTATTTTGTATCCTGCAGGGAGACATGCCCTCACAGAGCTGTTCTGTCCAAGATCCACTCAAGACTGTGTTTCTAATACAGACCTTATTGATTTAATTTTATTGGAATTTTCCAGGCAGCAGAATGGATCTGCTATTTATGCCTCTGGTTATTATTCTAAGTAAGTGACAGTCTGGACAGACAAGTAATGTTGGATAACGTGGGAGTTAGATATATACATATATCATAAGGTGAAGTGTGCCATGTGTCTGGGAATAACACAAGGTCAATTATTAGAGTAAGCTACCCTTGCCTACCTATTCATATTGGATCAACTCAGAGATGTCCTTCAGACTTTCACAAGTTCCTTCTGTTCTTGGACTTGGGCCAGGGTGAGAGAAGTTAAACTCTGGGCAGGGAGGGTATTGACCAAAGCTAGATTTTGCCAGAGCCTTTCATTTTTCCAAGGTTTCTATGACCTCTAGACCATCTCTAAATGCATCTCATCAAGCCATTATGTGTTGATCACATGGGGTACCCCTTCCCTGATGCAGTTGTAATGTCCTTACTACCTGCACTGAAAACTGCACATCCGTGTTTCCCTTCCCATGCTAATCCCAGCCTTGGTGAGAACAAGCCTTCCACCTTTCTGTGCAGCATCCCTGCAGGGATTTCTGTTTGCAAGCCCAGTTTTTCAGCACTCCCATTTTACCAAAGTTGCACCAAGCAATTCCTGTATTCTCTCTAGCAGGTCCGTACTGTAGCCTGGTGGGGCCATGCCATGGACAAACCCAGGTGCCACCAAGTGAAACAATGGCTTAGAGAGAAAATGATTTAATTAACACTTGAAACAATGGGGTTGAAATTCAGGAGGACTGCTCAGGCTTTCCCCAACTCCCACCTGCAGGTAAAGGCAGGAAAGTAGGAGAAAGCCTATGCCTGAAAATACAGGCAGCACTTTGAAGGTGTTTTCACCAGGGAATGCTTAGTTAAAGGAGGATTTCCTGATGGCTTGCGTGGAGGTTCAGCTCAAACTCCTGAATCTGGGGACAGTCAGTGCAGCCTGAAAGGCAGACTCCAGGAGCTGTGCGGGATCCTCAGCTCCTTGCAGCTCCCAGCAGCATCCCGTGGTCCCTCCAGCCCTGTTCCCACCCTGAGAGCAGCCCCATCAGGCTCATGGGTTCCTCTGGTTGCGGTCCTACCTGATGAGTATGATGACTGACGGTGTCTGCGCCATGGCCCCGATCATGCTGCACACACACATCACACAGAGGAATGTCAGGAAGGCCTCTTCGCAGCCAGGACTGGGGCATTTGCCAGGAACAACGGTGGCATTTTCAGCAGGGACCGAGGTGAGGCAGGAACAGCCACTGAGGTTCTGCAAAGGAGTACAGGGGTTCAGCATGAGGGAGAGGCACGGTCCCCAGCCCCTGCCCTGCTCTGTTGGCAACAGCAACTCTGAATCCTCTAATGGTCAATTAAGTTACTCCTAAGTGCTTGTTTGACGGGGGTTTGGAGATAATTTCAGAAGCCCATCAGCTCTGATGCATGCTACCAGCAAAGGAAAGCTGTCCCTTGGCTTGTTTCTTTTCTTCTGCTCCTTTCAAGTCTCTCCCATAAATGTCACTGCAACAAAATTATTACCACGTTATACCTCTTTGGAGGAGAATAAAGAAACGATCTGTGTCCCTGTGACAAGGAAGGTCCCCAAATGATGGTTCTAATTACTTTCTTATTTACCTCCACCCTCTTGGCTGTTGCAATTAAACTGGAGTACATTAAAAGCAGGTAAATCTGCAGCCTTGTTCTTGGCTGTGCATTTGGTGCCTGCTTCCAGCACCCTGAATCCTGGGAAGGAGCCACTCACGATGGGTGGCTGTGGCTCACCAAGAGCTGAACTATCACAGATTGATGGTACAGACACTGCTGGACTCAAGTGCTAATAAATGACATCTGGTTCAGAGGGATTTGTGTTGAGCTAAAAGCTGAAGTCAGGCAAGATAAACTTTATCAATCTGCGATCAGAAGGAGGGTGAAATGACTGCATTTTGCTTTCATCTCTCCAGTAAGTGCAGGATGTGAAAAGAAGCTTTGTTTGCCAGTCACAGATTTAGGGAATTCTCTTTTTTTGGTCTTATTTTCCACTTGCCCTCCTGAATTTCTGAGTGTGGGATGTCAGCACAATTAAGGCACACAATACTACCAAGAAATCCCTTAATGAATACAGAATGAAAGGATCATAAATGATTCATGGCTTGTCTTCATCAGCCCGCTGGGTTTGTAAGAGGAGTAACACCATAAAATAAAACATGTTGAAAACCAGCTAAATCTCCTCCTCTTCCTCCCCACTACATTCAAGCAGAAACTCCTTTGCTTTTCTGCTGGGTCCCCTTAGGACCATACAAAAAGCACACTTTCTGGTTCACCGCCTCTAAAGATAAGCATCCGCGGGGATACCACTCCAGCCTTTCTGACACCAATCCCTTTCTACTGCATAGGAGTCAAATGATTTTCTTCTGAAGAAGTGCATAGAGGGCAAGAGAGACTGCAGTGCAGAACTGCAGGAGAGCTGGAGGAGATATGCAGGTGCCTTTCTGGCTGCCAAGCAATAGTTAACAAATTCCTCTGCTGTGAATTAGAAGCTGCCACCAGAAGGCTCCGAGGTGGTGACAATTAGCACCACTGCAGTGGTGTCTGCACACAGACAACAGGAATGTGTAGCTCCTGGCTTTTACTGCAGTGTTTTGCTAGCAAACAATCTGGACACAACCAGGTGGATTAAAAGCCATCAAAGTCCAGGAAAGTACACACCTGCACTGAAAGATCCTGGAACAAAGTTCCCATCCTGGCAAACATGCATAACTGGCTGCTTATTTCCTCTCATCAGTGAAGAGAAGGTACCTGTTTCTGGAAGTGGTGGGACAGATTCTTCTCCCATTGGTGTGATTTTTGAGGCAGTTCCTCACCTCCACTGCCTGAAAATTTATCCCCCAATCTGCTTTTTCAACCATTCTGCACCAAGGTGCTGGCCCAAAGCAGTGCGATCAGTTTGTACCAACTACATCTGCTTGCTTAGCGTTGTGCCTCATCCTTACCTGGGAGATCTTTGATCTTTTATTACTGACACACTCTTACAACTCACAGACATCAAACAAGGAAACATCAAAGATGGAGTCTACCTTTGTCCTGTGGAGAGGCAACTTCTTGCTACGTGTGCCAAATTGCTATAGATTCTCTTGTCTGCAATCCCACTGCATTCAACTATGCGTTATCACAGCCTTCCACTGCCCAGCTGCTTGCACACCCAGATTTATTATGTGCATCTGAAGAAGCAGAGTTTGCACCTTTAACAGCATCCTGAGTTTGGAGTAATTATCCATGCAAATCACCCATGGTTTTAATTACTTATTCTTTTAAACCCTGGCTCTGACAAGCTGGTACTTCAGAGCAAAGCTGTGAGATGCCAGTATAGTAATGCCAGGCTGGAATTCATGAGTCTCCAGCCAAAAAGGGTGAGGGAAGCAGTGGCATCAAACAAACTAGATGCACAGTCAAATGCTTCATAGACAAGGGTCACTCCCAGGAATGGCTTAAGAGATAAATTCCTGAGGGTGCCAGAACTCTGCCTATCAGAACTGATATGCCTAAGGCTTTCTGGACAGGTAGACCTCTGCAACCAGCTCAGGAAGAGAGAAGAAATGAGAAAGAAAAAGCTAACTGAGCTACACATTGCTTTTAGAAATTGTTCACAGAGGAAAAGTGGAGAGAGGTAGTCAGAAATGTCCAATGCAGTAAAGTTAAATAAAGCATTCAGAGAATTTTATGTCCCAGTAAAAAGCGACCCTTGGCTCATCACGAGCATAAAACATTCACAAGACCCTCTAGGCAGATCATTACCTGGATTATGAGTTTAAAACCTGGTTTGGCAATTTGGCTTTGCCTCAGGGCTGTTGCATGGCCAAACTGGTCCATAATTCCTGATAACACCTTTTCCAGAGGATGCTATTGCTTCACTAATTTGTGTTCAAAACCTTACTGCAAAAAAAACCCTACAAAACAAAGCAATTGAAAGAACCCCATGATGAGGGAAAGGCAAAATAAGGAAGATTAAGTAAGAGACGGTGAGGGAGAGTGAGGTTTTTGCTCAGAGGTTTGTTCTTGCAGAGCACGAGGGACAGGCAGCTGCAGACTGAAGGGGCAGAGCTGAATTTTCATTACTATTCTCCCTCCAGAGAAGCCAGAGCTTTGCCCTGAACTGCACAGCAAGGAGGTTGTTCCTGCCCTCCAGCCATGGACCACATCGGCTGTATTCTTGTTAAGGGCTTGGTGAACTGGTGTGACACTATTCCTGACTTCTTGTTAAAAGCATCGTGTTGTGGTCCCAGGTGTTGACTTGTCTCTTGTTGGGAGGAGGAGGAGGAGGAGGAAGAGGGCAGGAGGTAACACCTTTGCATGTGTCACACACTCATGGAGTCCCTTGTGGGGATGCTGAAAGCACTTGGAAACTGTGGTATTTTGAATTGCAGCCTACATCTCTGAGGATGGAGTGGGAATTGACAAGAGTTTTAAGCAGGTTGAGCTCCAGGGCACCTGGGCTCTGAGGCTGCACTTTCTAGAGCAAGCCTGCACCTCTGCTCATTGGCACTCGTGGGAGGTTTGTCTCTTTTGGGGAGGAAGGGAGGTTTGATGTTGCCTCAAAAGGGAAGGATGAAGCCGTGGAGGTGAGTACTGATTTCCCTGCAGTCACAAATGCAGGTCAGCCTGAGACCAGGCTGACCTGACAGGGAGCAAGGATCGCAGAACACCACCAATTCCCACCCATGGGAGCAGCAGGCACTCGTTTTCAGTGTAATCTGAAGACATTAGTATTTTGGCAGCAAAATCTGGAAAAGCAGGCTTTTAAGATATTGCTAAAAATTCCCCTCAACTTTACACAGAGATGATTTGGTCTTTGAGAGTTTTCTAAACGAAATAAACTCCTAAATATGGAGAACTGAAAAATGCAGAATGTTTTTGGTTGGAATCTGCTCCCTGGACACCTGCTCTTGCTGCTGCCTCAGAGTAAAGCAGGGAAAGAGAGAAAAGCAAGAGGAGCGGAAGGAAAGCTTAAACAAGGATGAATAAAACCAGGATTTGGACACATGTTGGTCCCACAGCCTGGGCTCTTGCGGAGGATCTGGGTTCTACCAATGGACAACTGCATAGATTTCCTACCATGTTCCTTGCTTCTGCAGTGAGGCGAAAAACCAGAGGAGGAGGAGGTTGGGAAATGCCAATCTGCTCCATGAGAGTCAGCAGGCATTTATGCAACAGAGCAAACAATGACAGTGGCTCAGGCCCATCTGATGCATGAGGCAAGTGTTTTTGGGTGCAAGCACTGCTGGCTGTAAATGAGTTGCTCTACCAGATGCACACTAACCTCACTCACTCGCACCCACAGAGCTGTTCCTGAAGGTCCTAAGGAAAGCCCACTCACCGTGCTGCTGCAGCCAGCAAAGCAGGCAGATAAGTATGTGACCCCGTCTGCCCCACACACTGGAGTGAAGGAATCAGTTTGGCATTCACAGTTGTTATTGCAGGGGGAATACGGGTCCAGAGATGAGGTTGGAGTTGAGCTGGAAGAGAAACATAAGGAGAAATTAAAGGGCAGTGTGATGATATCATCCAGCTTTTCCAATCGTTGCCACACAAAGCTGGCTTTGAAGAGGGGTAGCTAAGGCAAACAGCTTATGAAAGGCAGAGTGCAGGCTATCTGGTTCCCAGCTTTAAGAAACCCAGGCTAAAGCTTCTCCCTGGGGACAGAAACACCATGGCCACTATCCTTCTGCAGCAGGAAATCGAATGTGAGGCTTGGGCTGCCTTGTTACCCCAACGAGGAGCCCCAAGGAAACCCAAAGAGATGCTGTGAAGATTGCTCTCTATTTTTTTACAACAGTAAGGAGCTGAGAGCATGAAGTTGTCACCTTCTAAAACATCACTGCTGCATACTAAGGAGCACCAGAAAAGAAAACACAGAATAACTCTCTCCAAGTCCTGTGAATGCTACAGGGCACCCTGTGCCTCCTCATTTCTCCCATTAAATAAAGCCTGGAGCCACATGTACTCCCTCTTCACCATATCTGAATTTCCAGGCATCCAAAACCTGGTTCTGCAAATTCTCCTCAGGCACTTAAATAAATGTATGAAGCAGTGCACGTCCCTCACTGCCAGGAGAAACCAGATGGTGCAGTGCACCCAATGCTATGTAGCTGGCCATGGGCGCAGAATTGGGTCTGGCACCTTTTAATTCAGTTTGACTGATTTTAGTAAAGCTTCATTGTGAGCTGCAGGTACTCAGCTCTCACAGTGAGGAGTGGCATGAAAATATCCCAGACTAAGAGCCCTATGTGACATTACCTTCTATATGGCTCTGTATGGGTACTAAGGGCCAGCAGTGCCTGAAGGCTGCCTGTTGAGGACAGTAACAAACCATTTATATTGGTAAGGCTTTGTGAGACCCTGAAGTTCTCTGCGGACTCACTTGTTTCCATAGGGAACAGTAACCCCTGCCACAGGTCCTGTGTCGCACCCCAGGAACAGGAAAGACACGTAGCAAGCTGTGGACACCAGGTTCACCAGCATGGCCATCCTGATGGCTCCCAGAGCAGACAGGCTGAGCTTCTTCACCAAGAGGCCACCCAGGAATATGCCCAGACAGGCACACGGGATTGCTGTCATCCCTGCAAGAGGAAAGATCAGTCAGCAAGAAGGGTGAGTGAGGCTTTTTACTTTCCAGCAAAGAGATCTGTGCTTTACTGCAGGGAAACCTTGCAATGACCAACTGCTGGAATAGCACCAACCTGGGGTTGCCCAAAAAGAGAGGAATGGATGCAAATGGCTATGCTGCCTTGCATGGCGAAACTGAGATCTTCTTCCAGTTCTCATCCATATGGAGTGAGATGCTGACATTGCTGAGATTGGCCCACCCTAACCTAAGCAGCATCACTTCCAATGTTTCCTGCAACAGTTAGACAAAGCCAAGGATTTTGCATGTTGTCCAGAGGCTTTGCATGAGCCCTGCTGGGTGTACTTCACTGCAGTCTGATCTTCAGAGACCAGGCAAAAGTCATAACTGAATATATGAATTCTCCCTTAAAGAATCTTCTTATACTGTGAAATGGAAAATCGCTGCCAGAAGTGACTCACTTTCCAGGCACAGAAAGGCATTATCACACTGAGCTTGTCTGGGTTCACTTCTCTCCCTCTGCTGCCTGGCCTTACCTACCTGCGCTAAGCTTAGAAGTGCATCCAAACCCTGGCATTTCTGGAGTCCCATAAATGCCATGTGGGAAATCTGGTCTCAATTTTGTTCAAATTAAATAAGTTGTGAGGACTGTGGATGTATTAAAGTCTCCCTTCTCACTGCTAGATCAGAAGCAGGATGTGCTCTGGCTCACGGTGACCCATCCTTGCTGAGCATCCAGCTCTACTCACATACTGACTGGCTAGGGCATCTTCCACCACACAGTGTGGTGGTTTTTCTTCTCAGAGTGGGTCAGTGGTGAAGCTGCTTTCCTTTGCAAAGCCTTTAATTCTCAGAAAAGATGGAAGATAGAACATCTTTGAGAGCTCTGGCCTTCTGTCAAATCCTATTAAAATTCACCAGAGAGTTCTTGTGTCACTGGGGGAAACCACAGGGGATTGTTTCTTTTGGAAAACCAAGCCAAAACCAGAAGCTATTGGAGCTCAGTGTGAATTGGGAATGATCAGCAGGAGAAGATGAATGAAGATCCTGCTTAGGTAAGTCACTTTTAGGGCAACCTAAGCAGTGAGACTGGTTGTGGTTACCAGCCATACTGAACACTTAAATGCCTTTGAACAGAAGGGATGTGGTGGCTCCTGTTGGGACTCACCCAGAAGCTGGTTGGCAGATGAGGTGGTGAGGTTGAACTGCTGCTCCAGGTACTTTCCCAGGAAGGCGGCGAAGCCAGCTACCACCGCGATCTCCATGCAGGCTGCCAGGATGATGCAGGTGAAGACAGGATTGGAGAGCAAGTGCTTAGTTACTTTGGGGATCACTGGAAGAGAGGAAAAATCGAGAGGTGTTTTGGCACAGGCTGTGCTCGAGGTGCTGGAGGTATCTTGCTGCTCTCCTGCAGGACAAAGTGATTTCAAATCAGAGGTAATTTGCTGTTCTGCATAGACCAGCTGGTTGAAATGTGGCAACATCAGAACAGAGTGAAGCACCAGAACAGTGCCACCTAAAGATACCAGAAGGGTGCAAAATCACCTGTCATTATGTTTGCATCCTACAGATGACGCTGAAATTTTGAAGGATGACTATTTTCCAATATTGCTTTTGTTCCACTCATAGGGAAGTCAATCAAAGCCTCGTATTCTTTTGCCTTCTCCTTTCCCTACCTGCTCCCCATGAACAATGCTGAACCAGCCGATAGGTGTCATGAGTACTGCGCTCAGCACTGCACCAGCTTTCAGACACAAGCTAACCCAGCTCACTCTTGGCCTTTCCTTCTCCTGCCATCCAGATTTGCTTCATTTTCATATTCCCAGACAATCCTGGTTTGTGTGCTGAAGGACACCTTCTTGCAGCACACTGGGGTGAAATCTGAAATTCTCCTGCTTAGCCTGGGGTCACCCATGGGTATAAAGGACCTCACATCTGGGACACGCATGTTAGCCTGTGTGTTCCCATAACCCAGAGCTTCACCAGCCAAACAACATCTTCCATGCAGACCCTACCAGCCTTGGTGGCTGCAAGGGCAGAAGAGGACACACTGAGCTATTCACTGAGATGCACACGCACTTGCTTTAGTTTCATGACCCACTGGCTCCTCCCTCCCATTATCATTAGTGTCCGGAGTCCTCTTCTCCAAGCCTGTCTCTATTTCCGATAATCAAACATGAGTTACCTTACAAAAGGAAATCTGGCTAATGAATCAGATAGCACATTTTCTACTTCAGCGAACATTTTAATTATTGCTGAGATAACACAGCTTGAAGAGGAGAGCATCCCACTACAGAAGAGAGCCTTGCTTTGTCTCAATACCTGATGACTAATTTCGCCCTGAATTAAATGTGAAAATCATTAAGTTTCAAAATTACCTCGCTGAAGTGTAGTGAAGCCTCAATGGACCCCTATTTGCATTCTGAAATCCATCCCCCACATCCCCTGTGGTGTACCAAGGTCTGGTAGATGACAAATTTCTCTGGTTTTGGCTCCTCTTTTTCCCTTAAGGCTTTTTTTTTGGTGCAAAACCCAATTACACTGGCTTCAGCAAATGAATGCACAGCTCTCTGTCAAGGCTTTGCTTGGGTCCCCTTGGTTCTTGGGGAGAAGGGGGGAAAAAGGGTTATAATTAGGTTTGATATAACCTTTTGGGAAGGGGCCACTCCACAGGTTCTGTTCTCTTTACATCACAAAGGTATTTTCCCGCTGTATAAAATCCTTGCTTCCTGAGGATTTGCTGAACATAATGAAGGTGCAGGAGGCACAGGATTTTTTTAGTAGAGCAGGGGAAAAAAAGAAAAAGGAAAAGAAAAGAAAATACTGGGAGGGAGGACTGGAGGTGGGGGGATTCAGACGTGGATGATCTCGGAAGTCACCTGCTGCCTCCTTCAGTTCTTTGGTGGCCACCTCCAGAATTTCCCCTCCTTGCCAGGAAAAGGAGGGAAAATACAAAGGTGGACTTGGCAGCACTGAGTGTGAAAAGCCATATTTAAAGTATTAATGCCTGTTGTGCCTCCGGAGTACAGTTTGTGCAAGATTAATGGATTCCTCGAGATGTAGCTTTGTGCCAATTCAAATGCAAAGACACAAAGGTCTACCTCTAACTTTATCCACCAAACAATAACAAGGACAGCCTGTCTTTTGCAGGAGGGAGTTAAAGATCATGGACATTTATTTCTGAAGCTGGCAAGGCTGATACCAAACCATCGTTCATCACCCAGGTCAAAATCCATCCTTTGCCCTTGGGGATGGACAGAGAACATTTTGGAGAGCTATTGCACCATCTCAGAGAAGAGAGGAGGCCTCGTGACTGCCTTACCTGGCAGTGTTCGGCATGAGTCCCATCACTTTATCATTGCTTCTCCTCCCTGTGTATCTGGGAGTGAGTTTTTTGGGACAGATCCTGTCCTCCACTGCATGTCTGAGCACCATCTACTGCAACAGGGCTCTGTCCCAGCTAGAGGGTATAAAATAAAACCCAGTGCAAAGAGTGCAAAGGCAACATAGGCAATACTTGGCACCCTCCATCATCATCTCAGCCAGGGCCAGCTCAATCTCTTTAATTTTCTAAGTGGAACGGCAGGAGGCTCCCCATAGAAATTAATATCCTTTCATCTTGCTACTGCCACTCGTTAGGATGAATCATTTGACACCTGCTGTTGCCTTATCTGTCTCAGTTCTTGGGGTAAAATACCTCTGGGAACAAGAGTAAAAGTCATCAGTGAAGTTTAAAAATCTCTCAATAGACCAGAGTGATGTGCTTTCAGCTGCTTGGCATATGGTGCTGGGTATGAAGGGGGAATGGAAAACGTCTAATGGGGGACAGTAAAGCCCTGGAGAACGCACAGTCAAGCACGGTGCTCCACCCCTGAAAAAGTCATGATAAATGTTACCCTGCACCTTGCTGGCCCAAAGGTTAATGGAACACTGCAGCAGCACTTCGGAGATACAAACCTGAGGTTGAAGCCTGTTTGCTGAATGGGAAAAGGGAAAGGTCTTTTGGATTCAAAAGAGTCTCAGAAATCTGCTTGGAGAACCCATAAGCTGTATCAGACATGCACAGAAAGACTCACTCTCCCACACTCAGAAGGACCAGCTCATTTAACATCCTTACCCACTGCACCCAGTATGCCACAGAAATGATGGTGGAAAAGCAATTCACATTGTGATGGCAAGATACGCTGAGAAGAATGAGAAATCTCAGCCTCTTTTCACCGCTAAAGTACTTAAACCCAACTCTTCAGACCATTCATGTGCAGCACTGGTCACAGGATCATCCATAGGTTGGAGGGGACCCAAGAAGATGTCCGAAAGCTCTCCAACACCCCTCAACTTCCCACCTTTTAACACCCCAAGCATCAAGCATCCTCCCTGTTTCCTGCTGTGGGGCCAGCTATGGGTGACCGGCCACAGGCTTGACAAGCAAACACACTTATGTAAACCAAGTAGCTTTGATTTGTCACTAAACATCAGGGAGTACCGGGGATAATTGGCAACCTCATTACATGAGGTTTAACTACTCTCCAGAAACAACAAACTATAATCATCACGTTGGTGCTTGAAATGAATTGTTTGGAACATTACAATCACCAAGGCCCCTTTTTCCAGTTCCAGCACCCTACAGAGACATGTTTTCAATTTGCAGTAAAGATGAGGAATACAGAAAGCAAAGTAATAAATTACAGGGGGTTTACAGCCCAGTCTACCTAGGACAGCATGGTGAGGGAAAGCCGAAATGTAGTATTGAGCCAAAATATTACTTTCTAATAGCAACGTAAGTAGCAAGTCTCAGATCTGAATAGAAAACAAAAAGCAAAAATCTCCTCCTGGCTTGAGAAATAAGGGATGAAGAAAATAGTGCAAGCAGCAAGACAAAAATACCTCCTGAAAAGAGGCTGCTTCTATAAAAGAGAATGTGAAGTAAGGCTGAAGGTGAGTTGAATATGCCAAAGACCACATGGCCTTGACAAAATTAGTATCACAAAGGATATGAAAGAAAAGGATGGCATCTATGTCAAAGAGGCTTCTTGACAGATACAAGCCTGAAGCAACATGTCCTGGGTTCAGCGTAAACCACAATACAAGACTAACATTCTCAGGTATGGAAAGCAGGCCCTTCTAGTCTATTATCTTGCCACCAGCAACCACCTTTGTTCAACTTCAGAGGGGGCCATAAATCTCCCCCATCATGGAGGTCACGGCAAGGCACAGTATCTTTCTGGAGGCAGACACACTCTGAATGACATCAGCTCAGCTTTTGCCCTGAAGTGTGCAGGTTGAAGACCTCTCTAAATTAATCAAAGCTTCTCATAACAGGGATGCTTGAAATGACCAAGAAGAACCTGCCAACAAAGCCTGCACCTTTGTGAAATCCAAGCCAAAGAAAACTGAGACTGTTAGGATCTGGTGTGGGGCCTTTTATGATCACCTACCATCCCCTTACCTACGATTTGGAGCTCTTAGCAAGCCTTTTAGATGCTGGTAGGGAGCCAAGGCCCAAATCCAAAGAGGCATTAAGGTCTTGGTACCCTTCTAGATCTCAAAGACTCACCTCTCTGGCCATGAATGAAAGCACAGAAGGAGCCCTCTCCAAAAGGTTGTCACTATCACTCATTAGTCATGAGTTTGAAAGTATTCATGTTCGCCATTAACCCTGCTCAATCCTATGAACTTCCACCAAGGACTATGGGCTCTCCATGGCCCAGGACCCCCCTGCACAGCTGGGAGCTTTGTGCTACGTGTCTGCTCCCAGAGAGAACTTTTGGGGAGAGAAATCCATGATTCAGAGCAGCTCCCTCGCTAGGTATTAAGCAGATTGGTACCCAGAGTAGGAAGGAACTGAACAGAAGACAGGACAGCTGTCAGCTGTACATCGCAACTCTTACGCTCTTGGAAATGAAGCTGGACAAAACCCAAAATGTTTCCAAATCTAGGGAATCTGCAGTTTTGAAATTCATTTAGTTCCACACTGAATTTTCTTTTAATTTCTTCTGAATGAGCTTCTCTCTCTGAACCTGAAGGATTCCATATCAATTTGAATCCTTTCAGGTTTTTAATCTCTCTTGCTAGACAGGCAGGCAGAATGTAATGAATTCCTGGTTTAAATCATTGCAAAACAAAATGCATTTAGAGCAGAGTGTTCCAGGGATGATAAAGATAAAGGCAAGGAAGCATTTTGAAACCAAATTTCAATGGAATTGACCACTCAATTCAGCAGAAGTGACATTTCTGTATGGGAGAAAAAGAAAGATTTGAACAAAATATTTCCAAGCACGTCCTGGAGCAGGTGGTGGATTAGAGGCAGCATGTTAACAGTGAGTGAGAGGGCAAAGGCAGGACAGACACAAGCAGAGGGCACAGGTGCCCTGACACAGCCAAGCATCGTCTCTTGCCCCAAACAGCAGCGAGGTCCCCAAGGCAGACCAGAGCTGTGCCCCCAGGACAGCAAGGCTGCTGCAGCCCATGCCTGATGTGCTTTCACAGAACATACAGAGATGCAGGGCTGGAACAACCCTGCCAGGCTGCCAGGTGAGAGCAAAGAGAAATGGCAGCATTTATCCATCCTCTCCCTGCTATTAATCCTTCACTTCCCTGTGCTCCCAAATTAACTGAAATACAAATCAGGTAAAGTGTTCATATGCCCATTCAGCAATGGTAAGCACTTCCCAGGACAATCCCAAAGCTTTCCTGCCTGTGCAGAGCTGCTGTGGCAGTTACACGCTGCCTTTGCTGCCTTTAATTGCCTCCTCACCTTGTGCCACTCAAAGACATGGATTTCATTTCAAGTTTGAAGCTCCTCTTTGTGATGCCTCTTTTCCCACCATGAAAATACCCGTCAGGAGGAGATGCCCTGGCTTCCCAAAAGCTGGGCCCTCCCTCCTGTTTAGACCTTGAAAGAGATGTAAAAGACTTTGACTCTTTCAGCAGATTGCTTTTATACTATTTCTAGCTTTTCTGCATGCTAAGGCTAGAGAAAGCCAAGGAATCTCACCCAGCCCTGCATTTCATTGTCTCTCAGCAGATCCTGTAGTGTCTCGAGCATCCTCCCACGTGCCAGCCATGCCATGTCGCTAGCTGACAGCATGTCTCCCACTGACACAACCCTGCTCCCTCTCCTGCCATGTCCACTAGTTTGCATCAGTCGCTGCAAGGCTTGAAAAAAACAAAAGAAAAAGCAATCAAACCTCTTCAACAGCCAAAAGGGAGACCCAGGTCAGCCTCTAGGGATGCACTGTTGACATAAAGTGTGTTTGAACTATCAGTCCAGAAAAACAACCTTTCCTCCCCACACTGTGCGTAGGAGGTGGACAATCCACACCTCCATGCAGACATGGCCTTACACCAGCCTAGGACCGAGCTGCAGAGACAACACTGCCTACAGAGGAGTCAGAGGTATGGCCACACAAACCCCAAAGAGCATTTCCACCTCCAACCTCATGTACAGGTACATCCTTCCACTGTTCAGCTTCACAAAACCTGCAAACGCCAAAGCCCATAATATGAATGAAGACATGACTATGCAGGCAGATATATATATATATATATATATATATTTAACCTCTGTATATAATTACCAGTTCTTTTTATCCTAGGGAAAAAGTGCAAACAGTTCATAGCTTTCCCCAAAGGAAACCTTGTGCAATCAACAAACAGAGTAAGGCTACAATGTCCCACCACAATAGGAAGCACATATATATAAACACATTGCAGCTGCTGGCAAAATAAACACAGACTCACAGGATGGTTTGGGTTGGAAAGGACCTTAAAGCTCATCCAGTTCCAACTCCCCTGCCATGGGCAGGGATACCTTCCACTAGACCAGGTTCCTCAATGGGTCAACATATCATGTATACACGTGGCAAGACACAACCCATCACCTTAAACACGACTCATCAGGAATGAGTGAGCACATCTGTCTTCCCTTGCAGCACACGTCTGAACATCTCCAGGCAGGCACTGCAGCAAACACAACTCTTGACCACATTCCAACTGTGACAACAGTGGCAAGGGACTTGAAAGGAGACGTCAGCTACCAACACCCTGTCATCTGTGACAGTCTCAAAGGCATAACTAAAAAGGTCATTCCCTGTGTTATTTGATGTGATATAAATTGCATTTCAAAGTCCATCTACAAAGAGACTTCTGGAATACTGACTGATCTGAAACGGGGTTACCTGCAATGAGAAGGCTAACATGGAAGACTGTGGTACTTCCTGATGTAATCAATACTGTGAAGCAGTTTAATTTCTCTACTTGAGTGAACAACAGATGCTCTAGGAACCCCTCCACAGCCTTTCTGTGAGCTTTCAGCTTGCTCAGCACCATCCTCGGGCAGAACTGCCCTCCATGCAGCACAGACATGCTACAGTCTTTCATTTTTCTGTATGAATATCCACAAAAACTTCCAGTGCCCATTCCAAAAACATGGGGCCAGAAGTAGATGCTCTGATGAGTCCATGACAAAAGACACACAATTATCCAGAGGTACCATGGGAAAAACGCATTCCTTGAACTTGAGAAAAACCAGGATGAAAGGATGAAGAAATTAATTCTAAAGACAGTATTTCAAACAATGTATCCCTTGACCTTTCTTTTGAAACTTCCCATCAAGTCAAGATTTCACATCTTTGACCTTCCCTTAATGAACTACCGCATCAACTGTTCAAGGCACTTTTATATATAAGAACACGTTCTTTTTCCCCCAAAGTCTCTTTTTCCTTCTACCTCATATGACTCCCAATTAAGGCAACTGCACAGGGAGTGATTTTTTTCCTCGTTTATCTAAATGAGATAGGCAGTAATGAAACTTCCCTCTGCCACAGTGACAGAGAGTGGGAAGCACCCACCAGTGCTACAGAACCACCCTCTCAGATGTAGGAATTTCCATTGCAGCCTACAGAAGGGATATCTGCCCCCATTCTCTCACAGAATGCTTATCCTTAGCTCATCTTAAGTAGAACCAGGTCCACTTCCATCTCTGCAGGAAACATCATGGGGGTTTCTACAAGTCATGCCACTTTGATGCTATTCTGGGCTGGTATCTACCTCTTCCCATTGCAGTTTGAGAGCTGTGGTGGTAGCCAGCACTCCTTGCTTTGTATGTGGGACTGGAATAAGCTGCAGCTCAGATGCTGGAAGCTTCCAATCTCTTTTAACTGTCCTTGCTGGCTCTCTCTCCATTTCAGGAGGCAGAGGGAAGCAGGAGAGTAGGCTGGAGAGAAGTTCACAAATTGCTCCAGCAACTGTGTTCCCCTTCATTTTTTTATCAACTCTACAGGACTACCATGCCTTTCTGAAGCTTTGTAGTTTAAAAAACCCCAAATCTTTCAAGTGGAACAAAGTCTCTCTGAAATAAGGACAACGCCAGAGATAATTAGAAGCTACAGACTGAGATTTCAGGGTACTAAGCTTTAGGGGGGATTTTTGGGGGGGGGGTAGAGGTAGATAACCCAAATCAAAGACCAATTATAAACCCAACCTGTTGCTGACTCTCATGGAAAACACAGCAAGAGCCAAGGTCTCACCTCGCAGCTGCTGGAAGCAGGTTGTGCTGCTCTCCCCATCCAGCGGGTGCCGCAGGACCCCATTGCTTGGCTTGGGTCTCTCGTATTCCCTCTCGGGAAGCATGGCCTGCTCGCTCTCCCCGGCGTGCTCCGGCCGTGGGGGCAAGGACTGCGGGAACCCGAACATGGGCAGGGATGAGAAGAAGAGTAAGGCACCACACAGCAGGAAGCCTCCCCACCATGCTCCGATCCACCGAGGGTCGTCTGGGGTTATGTCCAGCTTACCTGCAAGGGCAAACACACCCACACACACGTCAGGCTTGGCCTTGGGAAAGGCAATATGACAGTGTTAATGATGCTGTAGGCTGGAAGATGGTTGTTGGGGGCTTTGCTGGCTGGCAAGGGGGTCCCAGTCACAGGGTAGGTGCATCCCGTACCCATTCCCTGTGAGCTACCAGTGCATAATGACCTCCACATCCACAAGGTCCTTAGGACAAGCAACCTATCACCTTGCCTATCTAGGTGGCACATCCAGCTTCTGCAGCACCCTATAATCAAAGCTTCTCTCCAATGTCTTTGTCTCTGCCAGCTCTAGGAAGCTGCCATACATCATTAAGTGTCCCTGCTGGCACCAATGGTTTGGACATTGCTGTCACAGTGTGCCAACTGTGCACACACAGCCGACATACCTACTGGCACAAAGACCCACATGCAGCAGCATAGACAAGGACACTGCATTCCGTCCCAGCTCACCCCTTTTTCCCCAGGAGGTCAATACTCTCCCTGCTTTGAATTCACACCAAAGGAGAGGTTGGCATTTGGGCTTTGTGGGCACCTGTGACTGTGTGGAGGGTGAAACAGCCCTAAATACTGGAAAAGAAACCCACCCACTGTACCAAATAAACTCAGAAAGATAGAGAAATCATCAGAAAATGAAGAGCAGCAAAATTAAAAGCCAGAGTATCCTGTAGGCCATCACTCAGTGGAGATAAGGAAAAGGAAGGCTCTGGATTCAGTCTGGGGGTATAAAAATAAACAGCAGGAGAAAGAAACTATGTTCCTAAGAGCTGCCTCGCTGCCACAGCTGCTCTGGCGAAGGGTGCCTAGGGCCGGAGCTGAATCCCATGGGAGACCCATGTCCGCGTGGCTGGAATAACAAGCTCGTCCATTCATGATGCCTGTCTGGTTACCGCCACTCTGAAAAATCTGTCTCAAGTGAAGCAATCAAGTTGTCTCTCAGGCAGAGACGGGAGGAAACTCTTTTCTCCTTAGGGAAAATAACACGCAGCTCTCAAATATATATAAAGTGTGAAAAATAGTGCTTTGGAGGGACTGGATTCTTCTGCTGTTCTTTCCTCCTGCCTGAAGTGCATTTTTTCACCTTCTTGGGAACACAGCCATGTGAAGAGCCACATAAACCAAAGCCGCCTTCACATCCCCTTCCTTAAACAGGTCTTGTATGGAGGAGGGCTATATAGCAATGTGCCCTGGCACCCCACACCTGCAGCCTGAAATGGGGTTGGACCCTCTGGAGCTTGGTCTTCTCATGCCATCCTGATGTGCAAAGCAGAACCAGCTGCAATGTGGAAACTCTTCCCCATACAAAAATAGGCAGAGGCCAACTGTGCCCCAGCCTTTGAATGACAGCGATGGACCACAGCCAAATCCAGCTGGATTTGCAGCTGGAAAGCACTATATCCCTCTGTGTAAGATGCTGATACAGAGACTCTCCAGGCTCCTGAGAGAAAATGCTTCCCTGTCCTCCTCTGTGGCTCTGTTTTGTCTGAGGCTTTTTGAGCTGTAAATATGGAACAGTGTCTTACGTTAAGAATGGCCAGATCATATCAAGTTAACTTTTGAGCTAGGTCAGTGCATTGCCTCTGATGGTCGCCAGCTGCAGATGCCCAGAAAATCCATAAGTCAACATATACCTGATATTATTCTTGTGATCTGTGGCTCAGGGGCTTTCTGAGCTAGATCTGGTGTCATGTTCATTTTTTCCTCTATAAACTACTCCAACTGTTTTTGAATCCATTTGTAGACTTCTTATACCCTACGGTGAAGAGTTCCACAGCTTCACCTGCTGGCAGAACAAATATCTTCTTCTGCACATTCCTATCTTGAAGTAAATATGAGCTCCTCTGCCCACAGGACCAAGTGAGTCTTTAGCATATCTTTGCTAAAGCCAAGGACTGAAAAGGGACCACGTGGGGTTTGACTGTGCCTAAAGTCTCAGCCATCAAATAAGATACTTCTTTCCTGCTTGTTCCATATTATTTAGACTTCTTCAGCTTCCATGTGCATGAAGACCAAAATAAGGCACTAGCTCTCTTCCCGATGTGTGTAATTCTATTCCAAGTGCTGCAAGGTCCAACTCCATCAGAACACATCCTGCGAAGATGTATTTGTAACATCATAGAACTGGAATGCACCCTCAAAGGGGTACAACACCCCTGTGGCAGGAGAAGAGCCTGTGGGATCAAATGGAGCTGAGAAATGTAGAAAAAGCATCTGAACAACTGAGGGAAAAGAATAAAGCATGAGGATCGCAGTCTACAGCCAGAGGGCTCGGAGAGCAGCACGGAACAGCCTGTCACACATTGCCCTCTGATGGCAAAGAGCTCGTAGTGCAGGTAGCAATGAAAGAATTTGCAGGGTTTTTTCTTAATGGACAAAAAGACAATTTGAAAACAACTTGCTTGAACCCAAGTGCAGAGCCAAGGTGAGCAACAATGAGCACTGCTTTAGGGAACAGCAATGATGCTGTGGAACTGAACCTGTCCCCCCTAACTGGGTCATTCGGAGAAGGTGCCAGGCATGGGTCTTACTGATGTGCCTCCATCAGAGGGCCTGGATGGACTTCCCACATCCTGGGGATGGAAGCTCTCCACATTTCATCCCGTGCTTTGGACAGAGCTCCCTTGGCAAGACTATGTGCATGGCTAGCCAGTGTGCCCTGCCACAGTGTTCTTGTAAGGTGTCCTCTAAGAACTGGGATGAAACCAATCTTGCAGAAGAAAAGCCCATGGAAAGGAACAAATTTTGCCTACTATGAATCTCTTATCTATGGGATCAAGTTGAAATCCTTTGAATCCCAGTCATAAAACCCCTCTAGAAGTGTCACCCATACATGCAAGAGGCACTAAAGACAGAAAAATAGCTTCCTGCTTATAAGCATCAACATTTTTGTCCTGTTGATACATTATCATATCTGATTTTAAACCAAACTCAGTTCTCCTTACTTGTGTCAATGAAGACAGCATCCACATAGATTTTGGTACAGAAGGAGCCCAAGATAAATCCACAGGCTGGTCCAAATACCAGCATCGTAAACAGGATCCCTACAAGGAGAGAGAAAAGAGAAAATTAGTACTGGGCTCAGGTTATTCAGTGCAAGTTGTTCTGCTTGTCTCCTGCAAGATGCTATTGCCCTGCTGATGTCAAATATGTGTGTCAAATGCTTCAGGCAAAAGAGCACCCTAAGTACTTTTTTTGCTTTTCCATATCTCTTCAGGAAAAAGAGCAGATGGAGCTGTGATAATGCTGAAACTCTATTGAGCTGAGAAGACACTGTGGATATATACCATGTTTTGGCTGCTTGGAAAGCACAAGGTAAAGCAGCTCCCACGGGAAAGTCTTTACCTTTGCCACCTCCAGCTAAACTCCTGGTAGACAGGGTTATTTTCAGAATTCAGGGCCAGCCAATCTATGAAATGCTGCATTGTCACAGACTGACGGATAAAGTCCCTTTACAGAGGTAAAAGCACTCTTTCATAGCCATGAAGCCCTCCTCCCCACAGTACCCACACGGCAAACACTCCCCAGGAGGCACGGCTCTTCCATCCTCTCACAACTGCTCACTCCTTCTGCAAAACCCATGTGAAATTGTCAGTGTAATACCAGGCAAACAGCTATTATGAGTAAATGACTTATTTGCTTCCATACAATATTTAGAAGCGTTTATTCTCACTCCCATTTTGGCCCTGAAACAAGAATGCTACAGGCACATTGCCAGCTCTCAATTATCCAGGGCAGAAAGGCAGGAGGACACAAGGATAATCCAGAAAAAGCAGCAACAAAGATAACACAAAACATTTGTAAATTAGACAATAGGAACATAGTTGGTACCTTCACATTTGGGGTGGAAAACCGACAAGAAGTCCCCAAGGACCCTTGTAAATGGCTTTCTGAAGGGAGCAGGGGCAAGTCTGAGCAGCGTGGAGCAGAGCAAGCGCCTGTTTGTTTGCTCTGGAGCAGAGAACTGCTGAACCCGCTCAGGGGGCAGCTCTTCAGGACCTTCACAGTGATGTAGCAGCCTGTGCTGGCATAACTCTTGGTGCCACTGCACTTCAGAAATGTCTTCTGAAGGAGCTTATTCACATCTGGATGCTTTGCTTGCTCTGCTTTGACAGCAGGGTACAGCCCACATCCAAATCTCCCCAAAGGATGCTGCCTGGCATCTCAGTGCATTCATAATGCACTCCATCACAGCCATCTCAGCCCTCAGGTTCCTTAAGTGGAAACTTAATTTCCAAGTTCTATCTCTGTGCATTTCTCAGGAGTTGGATAAATGATCGGACATGTGAAATATTCCCAGGAGACCACGAGCCCTGTGCAAGGCAAACCTCTCCCTCTGGGGACAGTTTAGCCAAGTGGGATAAGGTGGTATGGTGATAAATAACTTCACCTTCATTTTTCAAATGCAGAGTGCAAACTAATTCCTCTAAGTTTGTGGCACCGTGACTTGGCTGGATTAATAACTAGCTACAAAGCAACGGTGTCTCCAGTCAGACACTCATACAGAAACCCAGCACATTGAAGTCTTCACAGCCATCACCTACAGAAACAAGAGGGAGAAGCAAAGGTGGTGGAAGGAAAATAGTGTCAGGTTGTATCAGCTGCAGTAAGAGGTCGCTGCTGTCAGACAGTGCCCTGTGCCTGATAAACTCAAAGCTGCAGCAATGGCACTGCATCATAGCCCATGCTGCCAGCTTGAATTAGTCCCCAGGGTCTCTGCCATGAGGTCCAGGTCAGCAGTGAAGCAAGCCACCTCCCCTCCTGCAGTCACCTTATCCCAGGGCACTGTGGTTTTGCTCCATGATCCAGCAGTAAGTTGGGGAATCTGTGCTCCTCAATCAACAGAGCTGCTTGAGAAGCCCATGCCTTGCTGCGGGAATACGTGAAGCCTCTCGGAGATACCAGTCCCATGTTGTGGGATGTGAAAAGAGGGAAGAGACAGGTTGAGGAACCAAGGAAAGGGATTTATCTCCCCAGCACCACCTCCCTCCTTCCCAGCCCCAAAGCTTACCCCACTTGGGCCTATAACATTTCCAGCAGCGTTTCATACAATACCCATATTGCATCTTTTTTGTCACTAGATGGCATCAGTGTTTGACATTCATCCCACAAGAGCCATGTGGAGCAGGCTGGGGGTGTGCAGCCCATCCCAGCTCCCCAGACACTATCAATCCTGGTACTTGGGTCCTACAGCCCCAGGAGGATCTCACTGATGGCAGGGTGCTGTCCTCACCCATGTATCTGCCATATGTGCAACCAGGTTGTGCCCTCTGGCTGTTTGCACGCAGGAAATCACAGATTTCAGAGCAAAGTTTTTAGTCCAGAAGTTTAAACAGACAGCATCTAGCAGAGATGGCCATGGCTATTACCCTGATGAACAAGCTGACAATCAAAGACCAGGGTAATCTTTAGCAACTGAACATTAATTATGAGTTTCTATGTAATTCTGGTCAAGCATGTAAAGACACAGTGGGCCTCGTATTGGCTGGAATAGTCCCTGGGGCAGTGGCAAATAGAGCCCATGCTTTGGATGTATCAATGCTGTGTGGAAGAGGGACAGAAGCTTGTCCTGTGATGATTTCTATGCCACAGGCAGGTTGCCAGATCATGTATATACAGGCTAAACCACAGAACTGAAGTGTGCTTCATGGAGCAAAGGATAAGGCAAAAAACACAGGGAAAGATCATCCTGCATTAAAAAGACTCCAGGGAATATTTTCCCCTTTCTCCAAAGCAGAAGAGGACAGGGACCTTTGGCTGGTGATGCAGCAGCAGCATGGAGATGCTGGCAGATGCAGCTAGCTCTAACAAAAAGCAAACACCAAGAAAGCTGTGGCCAGTGCAGGTACTTGCACCAGCGACAGATGAATGCTGCCCCTCCTCATTGTCTGCACCGCATGGCAAACCACCACTTCAGGAGCAAACCGTGTCCTCAGTTATTAAAACACCACATTTCATATACTGATGGCTGCAAGCTTTACCTGCCCTGCAGTGTTCTCGCTAGAGGGCAATGTGGGATAGAGCATCCACTGAACAGGGACACGGATATCTAAGATCTTAGAATGCAATAGGAAATCATTACCCACCTCCAGCTTAAGAAACCCTCAGGTAAATTGTGTTTTTACTTTTCCTATCGTTTGTCTTAAAATCAACAAAACAACTGGCTCATCACATACCCTTTTTATCATCTCTTTTTGAGGCTCCAACAAAATCCCACCATTAGATAATAGTATTTTACACTTTATCTCACAAATCAAACAGGTTTTGGAGAAACCCAAGACTGGATAGTTGAGCGCCTGTACACAACTAGACCATGCTCAAGGATCAACGCAGCACACTGAATTAGGCTATTAGGCAATCGGGATAGTGCCTGTGGTTAAACATTTCTGTGGGATTGAGGGCTTCAGTTAGTATTAGCTTAAGACATCCTTTCTCTTTTGGGAAATTCTGCACCACTGTTAGTCACCCTGCTATTAGGAAAACACTTTCCACATCATCCATTTAAGTCATACAACCACAAAGCCGATGCTTAGGAGAAAAGGTTTAGCAAAACCCCTTTTCCTGGTCCTGGTGTTGCTGCTAAGGATAAGGATGTGCTAAACTTGATAGCTTTAACACCACTTGCTAGGTCTTTGCACATGTTTCCCTCTAACTTTTAGATCAGCCTAGATTTGATGGAGCCAGAGGGCACTAATACCAAGAGCAAGGAGATCAAAGGTCTAATCTCGGCTCCATCAGTCTCTTGCAAAACTTCCACTATTAGAATAGGATACTGTAGCCTCTTCCCTTTCATTCTCAGCTTAAAGTTTATTTATGTGGCTCAGAGCAGCACATTAATAAACATCCTCCTCGGGGATACTGCCCTGGAGAGAAACACTTCTTGCTCTGCAGGGCTGCTGTGCCTCTTCCAGGGGTTCTATGCTTGGTCCTGCATCCAATGCTTCAAGGAGGAGCTGGGCATATCCCCATTGTCATTAGCCCTACACAGTCCAGTGGTAACTAAGATGAATAAGGTTTCTCCTCTGTGCAACTGGCATTTTCTTATTTGTAATCTTAGAATTAACCCTTACCAAATTATGGCAATTCTTAGGCATACTCAAGACATGTGAATTAAAAACCAGAATGACCCTGCTTTGGGACAATCCAAACATTTTGTTCGATAACTCACAAATACTTCATTTCAGTTTGATCCCTTTTAAAGCACAGTTACATTTGATTTTGAACAGGTCTATTTACTTTCAGCTTTCCTGCTCTATTCCCTTCACCAGTCTCCCTGTCTCCCCAAAAGGCAGGGGAAAAAACAGAAGCAAGCCAGGCTGGATGGAAAAATATTTTCCTGCCCATCTTCTCAAACGGAGCAATTTTCCAAATCCTACTTTGTCCTAACAGACATTTTTCAGGGACTGAGGAAAAGATTGGGACAGAGGGGAGTATTAGATCTGACATTTCGGGATGGGATTTTATCACTAGTAAGGCCCAGGACTGATAATGCAGTTTTCCATTCTAGCAAAGCTGCAGCAAGTACCACTACATCTGTGGAGAAACCGTGGCAGAGATGCTCAGTCAGTCATGCGAAGTGCACAAGAACCAAGTTACAAAGAGAGGGATAAAGGATGTCAGTATTTCAGTAATAAGGAGATGTCCCTTGGTGATCCAAGCTGCTTTCCAGCAGCAACAGGATCCCAAAACACAAGCAAACTTGTGTTGCTCACAGCATGATACAGGCAAAGCATCAACTTGAACCCTGTTACAAATTAGCTGGGGACAATATCTGCCAGCAGAAACCCTCCTGGCTGGAAATAAGACATCGAGGGAGATGCAGGAGGGTTTGCCAGCCTCACTAAGGTGAGCAAGGAGGCATCTCAGGCACATTTCACTGAGGAGTAAGAGCAGGTTCAATGCACAGTCATGGGCTGAAAAGAAAAAGCACAGTCAGCTACCCAGTTACTTTGCTTCAAAGTCTCATCCCACCAGGGGCTGAGACCACAAGATCTATTTTGGAGAGCTTCTAACAAGTGCCAGGTGAAGGTGAGCTGGGAAGGTG